TACAAGCGACGCCTCAAAACTGGAATTCTTTGGTTGGTAGTAGTCCCATTCAGGACACATATTTCGTCCTATTCTAGTTACAAAGTGAACATCAGCTCCGAGATACAAGTACATCAAGCTGATAAGTTCGAAACAGGATGAAACGTACATCCTGTATTCCACCGTTAGGTACCGTTCATCTCTGAAAATGTGGAACAAGTTCCATGAAATCATATAAATAACCCTGGAATTTAAATTTCTATCGACATTTTTATATCTGAATGAAGAATAAATGAACGGTAACCACTAGGAATTATTAATAGACTATCATTAATTATGGTCCTATCGTATAATTAGTAGGTAACTACATGATATATACAGATTCATATTCCTTTCATTATAAGCTTTCATTTGACTTATTGGCTATTGCTGTACAACGTACCATTCTTAATTTATTTATTAGTTGCAGTACCCCATACTGATAGCCATTTTTACTTGAACTTGTATAATTATTATCATTCACTTTAGAATGTGATGCAGTCTGGTCTACTTGTATATAAACTATGTATCTTTGAAATATACGATTCATATAGAAGAGGCTTATATTTGTGTTCTGGATTGAACGATCTGGGCTAGGTGATAAGCTACTTCATAGAAGACCAAGATGGATTCAGTATTGACTCATGGCTTCTAGTACAGGTTGACTTGCCATTGGTTTAGAACAGAGACAAGATCAGAGAAGTCGATATTCTGGTTAGCGATTTTTCACGTGATATTTAACGAACCATAGGATATAACACAGACATGGTACCAATACAGAGTAGCATGTTGTTCTTTTTACTCTTGTGACCAATCAAGAGGGTAATAGTAAGCCTAAATTTAAATCATATCAATAGAGGTTTATCTCACATTACCTAGTCTTATCACATAGACATCAACTATGGAACTGATGAAACTCAATAAAGAGTAGAACAACGTTCTCTTCTCAATTTAAATCTGTTCTATATAACGTACAAATTTGATCAAACTGGATCAACAACCCCTTCCTCCAGCCAAGTATATTCAAATCTTATGAAGAACTTTAAACAAAAAACATCCAGTTAGAAAAAGTCTAATGATAAAGTCCGTATTCATTAGCAGATTAATCAATTTGGTTCTCATGTGATGTTCTTTGTTGTCTTTGACTGTAAAGTTGTATATTTATTTCCATGTTAACATGCTTTTGTTATTCATTTCATTTCATGGAAGAATAGGAAAGGTGAAGAGATTAACCTTTGAATGTGATAATTACATTACTGTTTATTGTTTACTGAACTTATATAATGAATGATTCTATGAATTCAATTTAATAATGATTACATAACATAACAATATAGATCACATGATTTCTGGTTTACACTTCTTTTTCTCTCTCTCATGAATATACTACTTAAATATAAAATAAATCAATTTTGATGTTGGTAGTTAATTAAGATTATTTAATTTAGGATTTGTTTATATATGGTATACTTCAGCATGCACCAACTGAATCATACTTGATGGAGAAGACTTGGAAGATGTAAAAACCTTTACATATCTGGGCAGAATCATTGATGAACAGGGTGGATCTGATGCAGATATGAAGGCGCAAATCGGAAAAGCAAGAGCAACATATTTACAATTGAAGAACATCTGACAATCAAAACAACTGTCAACCAATACCAAGGTCAGAAATTTCAATGAAAATGTCAAGATAGTTCTACTGTATGGGGCAGAAACCTGGAGAACTACGAAAGCCATCATTCACAACATACAAGTGTTTATTAAGAGTTCGGATTCGTTGATCGGACACTATCAGCAACAACCTACTGTGGGAGAGAACAAACCAGATTCTGGTGTAGGACGAAATCAGGAAGAAGCGGTGGAAGTGGATAGAACACACATTGAAGAAAGCACCCAATCGGATAGATTCATATGGCTGAATAGGCTCCATATACTCTTGGATGAGAAAAATTAATAAGACTGATTTACTTTATTGATACATTTCATCGAAACATACCCTATTTAAAGATGAATATGAAGACCCTTGACAGAAGCTAATCTCTTTATAAGTTTCAATTTAAAGGGATAAAGTAAATTTATTGAAACATTCGAGATAATCATGAACAATACTACTGATAATACCATAAGTTTTGTTTGATCCATTAACTTTAAGTCAAAGCTCAATCGATTACATGTTTAAAGATTAAATTAAGAAAAAAAACAAAGCAGGGAGTATCCGAATAAATGTAACAATAATAATAGTAAATATCCTGAAGATAACCAATCATGAACAAGGTCATTAGGAGTGAATATTTTTCTAAAGAAAGCATTCTTCCATGTTAAATAGGTGTTAATTATATTATCCAGAATGAAAGTGTAAACTTAGGTGATTTATGAGTTAGAACAAAGCACATGATACTAAATGATAAGATGTTTTGATAATAAAATAGACGAGTTCAATGATTACTGTTCGTTTTCATCAGTTGACATGGTAATCAGTCAGTCAGATACAACGTGGAACCGGGCACATATATGCATTGGTTCAAGTTACCACACCTCATTAACATAACAAGATCAACACTAAATTCATAGAAGTAATCACTTCAGTGGTAGTAATATATAAAAGAAAATTTGTATATAAGTATATAGTACAGGAAGAAAGAATTAATTGGTAGGAAGAAATGTACATAGTAATTGTAATTTCATGGTTTAAAGGAAGACAAAGAATGTATACACCTACGTCATAGTGATCGATTCTGAGTCATGTCGCCCACAGTTTCCAACCAGAGGTTACAATAGTCACGTGGACACCAACCAAGTAGTCTGCATCTACCAACATGGTTCAGACTAGAAGTTAGTGACATTGTGGACCTATTTCATGTTTTGTTTTGGCCACGCCAAACTTTCTCCCAATCATCACCAATACTAGTCAGCATTGAGAGTTGTGGTAATCAGTGTTCAGGAATATGTAACACGTGACTCGACCATCTCAGTCGATGAAGATTCACAACCTCATCAACTGATTTACAATCATTCTCTTATACCATGCACCTAACCTCACTATTACTTACCTAGTGATCTTAGGAGATGTGAGCGATGTTTCTAAGACATCTGTTATTGAATACTAGTAACTCACGAGTATCTTCTACCCTTAATGACCACGTTTCTCAGCCGTAAATTAGAGCAGAACGAACTGCCAAACAGCATTCGCGTCCCTTGATTGGTAGTTGGATATCTCACCTTCACCATAGGTGACATAAGTTGGTAAAAGCCAAACGAGCTTTTTGAATCCGTGCTGAGATTTCGTCAGACACCAACCCATTAGGGCTGAACAGACTTCAAAGATAAGTGAAGTTGTCAACGCGTTCGTCTACTTCACTCTTTATCTTTATTTCAGATGTTGAAGCAAACCAGTCCTTAAGCAACGACTTGCATTTAGAAGGGGAAAAACTCATCCCAAACATCCTGGCATTGTTGCTCAGTGCTATCAAGAAACTCTGCACTTTATCAGCGTCTTCACCAAACAGGACTATGTCATCTGCGTACTTTAAGTCGATAAGTGGACCTCCAGTGTAAGGAGATCAATTCCTGAAAATTCAAACGACTTGAATGTTATTCCCAACAGTATATCTATGATGAAATTGAACAAAAATACAGATCATGGACATCCTTACCGGTCAGTACTTAAAGTTGCAAAATCAGATGATAGTTCGCCATAAGCTCTGATCAGATAACAAAATATTCTATCCTGATATGGGTATTAAATATTTTTATTTGAATATATTTTATCACTAACAAATGTAATTTTACTCAATTGACCTACATAGTAACCTACACCTTTATGAAAATATTACCGCATTCAAAAGACCAATAACCAATATTAGTTTAAAAGAACGAACAAACATGATGTAATAATAAACTAAAACATTACTGGTATCAAAAATATTTCTTATTTATTTATTTCAAGTGTCTGGAAGTATCCCCTTGTAGTGACTCACTTGTATCACAAGAACACGATTGGTTTACTGAAAACAATTATTATTATAACCAATTGTACCAGTGACTGTTTAATGTGCTCTTTGTTTAACTGTGCTACAAAACATCCATTATACTTACTTTGATTGTAACCTCGCGCGAATTCGGGAGAGAACAAACCAGATTCTGGGGGAGGAAGAAATCAGGAAGAAGCACTGGAAGTGGATAGGACACACGTAGAGGAAAGCACCCAATCGCGTCACAAGGCATGACCTTACTTGCAATCCTCAAGGCCAAAGTACGAGAGGAAGATCAAAGAACACATTACACCGTGAAATAGAGACAGATATTAGAAGAATGAACGAAAATTTTATAGAACTAGAAATGAATGCTCAGGACAGAGTGAGTTGGAGAATGCTGTTCGGCGGCCTATGCTCCATTGGGAGTAACAGGTATAAGTAATTAAGTAAGTTTAGTATGTTAAATGTCCCTCGTTGAGGCTAATAATGTTATACAAAACGCTAACTGATAGTTTAGGATTAATAAAATCTACCTAACAATACTTAACATAACCAAAAGCATCCGTTTAGGCCCACAATTATTCTCATCTTTTAGATATCATTAAAGAATCATCACAATTAAACCATTAAGATCAGTGAATGCAACATTTAGTCTATAGTATTGGTTAACGGGATTGAATCAGACAACATTAATCAATTTTCTCCTCATTACAAATACCCTATCTTTATGAACACTAAATAGCATAAAATTTATCTCCCAAAATTTCCTACCACTAATCAGACCTATTGTAAGTGAGCTATATGGATTGTTAAATTTTTTGGTTAGCGTTTTTTGTTTTGGCGAGTTAGTTTACTACAGGATAGCGTCGCTAACTCCATACCCAACCCTTCTCCTTTATCCGGGCTGTGGACAGACAATAGCCCTAGGCGGAATTTCCGTGGATTGTGAGTGTACCATTCATTCATCAATCTTAAACTTGAACAAAACAGTTCGTCCACAAAGTAATGCCTCCTAAGATTGTGTCTGGTAAGGCCTCAAAGAAAGCGTCGAAGGTTAAGCTGCCGAAGGTTGATAAGAAGAAGAAGAAGAAGAAGAGGATGTGGAGGAAAGAGAGTTATGCTATCTACATCTACAAAATTCTTCGTCAAGTTCATCATGACACTGGTATCTCGTCGAAAGTAATGTCGATCATGAACTCGTTTGTGAACAATATCTTTGAACGGATTGCCACAGAAGCCAACTACTAAAATGTTTTTAATGGTTATCTTATAGTTAATGTCAAATCATTTTATGAGGTTTATATTATCTAAAGTATCATCATTAAATAACATTATCTAACAGATAACAAACAATCATTCTATCAACTATTCATGTCAATTACTAAAATGTTTTAGTAAACTTCTTTTCTCTTTTCTTTTCTTTTTTGGCACTTAAACATAGATAAACTGACCTGTGTTTAAGCAACTGGTCAATGTTTCCTTTTTGCGTTTCCATTTGATGTATTATTATTATTATTATTACTATCAATGGAAAGATTACACGTCAATAAATCTAAAGGAAAACAAATCTATAATTGTCATGGGATCACATAACCTTAATTTGTCCTTAAAAGAAACAACCAAAAAAAAAAGAAAGAAGGGATAAAGAAAAGTGAAACTAAAATGTATCGATTTTAACTTTTATACTTTATCGTCATTCTTTTTTATTATACCTGGTAGGCGGTTTTGTTTGTTGAAACTTTTAAAAATGAAATGAAATTACTTACTTACTTACTTACTTACTTACTTACTTACTTACTTACTTACTTACTTATTTACTTACTTACTTACTTACGCCTGTTACTTCTCGTAGAGGAGCATAAGCCACCAACCAACATTCTCCATCCAAAAGTGTCCTGGACGATCCATTTACGTTCTTTCCAGTTGTTATTCATCCTTTTCATGTCTGCTTCCATTTCCCGATATAATGTGTCCTTTGGACTTCCTCATTTCTGCTTAATTTTAGGATTTCCAGCTAGGGAATGCCTCGTAATGCAGTTTGATGAGTTCCGTAATGTATATGCAGTCCATTTCCAACGTCTTTTTCTAATTTCCTCTGCAGTTGGAGGCTAGTTTGTTCTCTCACACAAAAGGCTGTTGCTAATGATATCCGGTCAATGAATGTTGAATATCTTGTATAGACAACTATTTATAAATAAATTTACCTTGTTGATGATTATTGTAGTGTTTGATTAAAAGGGAAATAACAGGGAAAATGTAAGTTAATTGAGGAAAACAGAAAAACAATCAATTTAAAAGACTTATTTACTTACGCCTGTTACTCCCAATGGAGCATTGGCCGCCGATCAGCATTCTCCAACCAACTCTGTCCTGGGTCTTCTTTTCTAGTTCCATCCAATTCTTGTCCATTTTTCTCATGTCTATCTCCATTTCCTGACGTAATGTGTTCTTTAGTCTTCCTCATTTCCTTTGGCCTTCAGGATTCCATATGAGGGCTTGTCTTGTGACATAGTTGGGTGCTTTCCTCAATATGTGATCTATCCACTTCCAGTGCTACTTCCTGATTTCTTCCTCCGCTGTGATCTGGTTTGTTCTCTCCCACAGTAGGTTGTTGCTAGTAGTGTCCGGCCAACGGATCCGAAGTATTTTGTGTAGACAATTGTTAATAAACACCTGTATCTTCTGAATGATGGCTTTCGTAGTTCTCCGAGTTTCCGCCCCATACATTAGAACTGTCTTGACATTTGTATTGAAACTCCAGACCTTGGTATTGGTTGACAGTTGTTTTGATTGTCAGATGTTCTTCAATTGTAAATAGGCTGCCCTTGCTTTTCCCAATTGAAAAGAATTTGTGATTATTGTTTTTCTCTCTTTTTCTGTTCAAAAAACTTCTTTTATTTATTATTTTTAATTTCAAAACATAAAAGTGGAACGAAAATATTGTTGATGAGAATAATAATAAGATTTATAGATTATAAGATGAATTATCTCCAATGTGTATAGTTTCTTCTACAACAACCAAGTAATGAGCCTCTATTCTGAGATGATGGGGAAGATTTGTAGTTCAAGTGGATGATTTTGATGGAGTTTTGTTCTTTGAGCTGGATAGTTTGGTCGTAGAAATTTCATCATTCTTTTGAACGACATCATCAGTACAAACTTCAGTTCGAACACTTCACTTCTAACTAAAGTTTGTGCTAATAATGTTGTTTAAAAGAACGATGGAAGCTCCACAACCAAAACATCCAACTCAGAGAACAAAACTTCACCAAAGTTTCTATTTTATATTGTTTACATGTATCTTACTGTTGATGATTAGGACTGTAAATTGGTCAGTCTGTCATTGGCAGATGTGCATGCTCTGTGGATTGCCTCGATACTGCCTTAGTTCACAAGCATTATAAGCAAAAATGGATAGCAGATAGCGGTGGAATCCAGAACATGCGTTTCGTCCCAGTTGGGATTCGTCAGTTGGATGTACCTGCATACCACAGTTACTGTTCACTCCGTGACTCGAACCCTGTACGATTCGCTACAAATGACATTACGTTATCCATTTAGCTATTGAGTCCTGATAGCCACTGAGTTATGAGTTTCTGTTTTGTATTTTTGAACATTTTTTCTGTGATCTACGAAGGAAATGCAGTGAGTTTTTCAGAAATCCAACCGAAGATACCTCTAGACATTCAAATTGATAATAACAGCAAAATGTACTACACTTTTCAGGGATTATTATAATCAAAAGATTCCGACCTGACTTATATATACAATGTGAAAGCCTGATAAAGCAATGTCTGCCTTAGTAACTACACAACTACGATCAAACAGTTTCGTCATTGTACAGTTTTAATAATGTTTATACAGTTATCGTATTTTGGTTGTATTTATGTCATCACTTATCATGATTACAGTGATTACTAAACCCATTGGTTTTATCACCACAGGTATCATCACTATATTTTAATGGTTAGCTATTTATTTTCATGCTTTTATAAACCTTATAGAAATAATAATCATGTACTCATTGATGATGAAAATGGAAGTGCAGTTTTGGAAGTTCTGATGAGGAACAGTGACCAGTGATGCTCAACTTTGTCGTGTGTGACAGAGTTATTCGCTTCAGGCAATGGAAAATAATCTAGTAATCTAATGAACTGGTTGAAGTTATTCATGTACACTATTAGACACTAGCTCAGTGGTTTAAACTTTGAGTGTTCACCGTGAAACCTAAGGTTCTCAGTCCGATTTCCGGAAAATTCAAGAACGAAACAGTTCACAAATGTTACTTGGTTTGCCAATGTTGTCTAACTAAGATCAATCCATTGAGTAAACTATGAAAATATAAATACACACAAATTGGCGACGGTTCCGTTGGTGTATAAACCCAGTATGTTTGAAATAAAGGATTCATATCAGAAGGGGTTTTGTGGAGGTTGTAGTAATTTCAATAGTTGAGATCATGAGTCGATTGAAGCTAGACCACCATGGAAAACCAAGAAGCACTGGACGGTTGTTTCGAGCTCGCGCGCGAGACTGATAGGCCCTGGGTTCGAATCCCTCAAGGCGGGGTTCATATCGCAGTGGCTGAGATTTGTGTTCTGGACTTATCAGGCAGGGCTAGGCAGGGAGCAGCACCGATAACAACTCTAGACTGCTCGTGCTTGTTTTATGTTTCATTGGTCCGGTCGATAATTGGAGGTATCACTATGTTATAGATTAATAAAACAAAGGGCACAAGTTATAACACCAATTTTAACTGCATCTAATATCATATCTTGTATCTTCTCTCTCTTATTATGATTTTCGATTCTGTTTTAATATCCGTCTGAATCTCTCTAAATGCAGTACGTCAACTATTAGTCTCTCAACATTTGAGGCTTCACAGTATTAGGCTCTTTACTGCCGATGAAAAGCTTTAAATTTATGTCACGAATATATAAGTAATTACTGAAAGTCATCTTCGTGCCTTGAGATTATTCTAAAGAATATTTATTGATTATGTTATGTGTATGTTATATCTTGATGGAGTTTTCTTCTCTCAGCTGAATATTTTGGTCGTGGAGCTTTCATTGTTCTTCTGTACGACATCATCAGCCCAAACGTCAGGTAGAAGTTATGTTATATCTAATAAGCTGACTTAATGAAATCATTTTTTCTCCTAGTTTCAAGAATACATTGAATAAAACAAGTATTGATAATAACTTTCAGACGACTTCTTATATCTAAGAAATTCTATGGCACTTCAACCCCAAACATCACATAAAACTGTATGGAGTAATAATACTAATGTTACCTTTTGGATTATTAATATACAGAAAGCAAGTGAATGTAGAGACTCGTTGGTAACGTTCAGTCTCTAGAAATTTCTGAAAACATAGTAAATTCTTTAAGAGAACAAGAAATCATTCAATATGAATATGACACATAATTCATCAATTGTATAGACGTTTCTAGGGTGGGAGGGGGATTCCAATGCATGATGACAAAGGGAAAATGTTCTCAAATTTCTTTTCCAGTCTTTAAACTCCTTAATGAGGAATTCTCGGAATATCTCAACACGTTTATGCAACTTGAAGAAGAGGGAAAGTCATAAAATTAAAAAAAAAACAGTTAATAAGGAAAATTTGAGTGAATTTAATGCTTTAAAAACTGAATAGATATATCAAAACAATTACAATAATGAGTTTTGTAAATCATTTCACCCCCCTCAAAAAAAATACTAGCTATTGTATTTAAGGAGTAACTATGGTAACCTCTTCTTTATATATTAATTTGTGTGTACTTATTTCCCCCTTCCCCTTAAAAAAAGATGGATGAAATGAAAGAAAATAAATAAGAAAATGGAAAAACAAAATGTCATATCACAAGAAGTTAGTTAAGAGAGAATTGAAAGTACTTACATGGTCACTTCATCAAACTGTAATCAATTTTTTTTGGACAATGTATTAGATAAATGTTATGATTTCTTAAAATGCCCTGAATGTAGGATACATCAGTTAAAACCTGTTAACTTTAATTTAGGTTGTATACTTTTATTATACTCCAAAAAATCCTGAACTCGAATCTCGTGAGGCAGGATCGTGGATGTGCACTGCTGAGGAGTCCCACAATATGACGAAATGGCCGTCAAACAGTGCTTCCAAGTTTTCCATGGTCATCCAGCTTCAATTGATTCATGATCTCAACTATTTAAATGACTATAATATCCACAAAACCCCTCATTGTATGTCTTACTTTCGGGTTCCAAG